AATATTTCGGGGCGTGGAGCCCCAAGAAATGTTTTCAAGCAGGATGTCCCGAGGGAGCGAAGTGAACACGAAACTTTGTCTCAACACTGCTGCGTATCGAGGATATGATCGACAGACTGAATTTTGCAAGCTCTCAGGGACAGGCACACCCTTACGTACAAAGTCTAGAAAGGCTTGGGAATTAAGGGGCCCCGCACTAGAAGAGGTAGACGTCTGCTGGGCAGGACAAGTCTGCTTACCCCATATCCTCATCGCGCAAGTGGGACGACCGATACTGGTCCCGGCACCATTGTGCTCGGGTTGAATGTCTTTCGAAATCGGTAAATGCGTACTTGAAAAGCGCTGCCACAAGGTGGATATCAGGTGAGACTGGAGCTCAACAGCATCGCAAATTTCGTCATGCACCATGTCAATTCTTGACAAGTAAACCTTCCTGGCGATAGACTTCGCAAGCGAATCAGCCTTGCTGTTGAGCTCAGTCCACAAGCGAGGCTGTAAAGATGAGTTTTCCGAAATGTGAGCTTTAACCTTGAAGCAAGCAATGCGGTCATTAGGACGACTTCTCATGCACTCGACAACTGCCGACCATAAGTCGGCATTATCAACCGTAGACAATAAGTGCTGCTCCCACTTATTGGCAGCCAACCATGCAAACGTGTTGACTACGCCAGCGCAGTCACTGCCAATGCGAATGTCACCAGACGAATGTTTAAGGGCCAAAAGCAACGCACCTATTTCTGCCCGTTGAGAAGTAGGATAAAGGCCTGGCAGTTCCTGTGACACGGAATGACCATTTTCAAAAATCACAGCTGAAGCGCCGGACGATAGCACTCCCCATTTCTCGTAAAAGCAAGACCCATCGATAAAAGCCAAAGGACAGCAAACCTTATCAGGGGAACTAGGGTCGCAGGACGAGGGGGCAGACTGCAAACTGGTTCTGAGCGCGCGAACACGCGGCGACTCGTAGATGATACCCGAGTGCCAACAATCGTTCGACATACTGCAGATGCTCTCTTTAGAGGGGCGAGTTTTGCAATACAGGTTACAAAACTTAAACAAATGCGAGTGATCTTCACTTCGACGGCAAGAAGAGCACCTGTCGGACTTTGCAATCCCTGCAGCGTACAGGCGTTTGCCAGTAAAAACAGACCCAGCCAACAAAGTCTTTAAAATAGACCTCACTCTGTCAAAGGGTTTAGGAAGTCTTTCCAGAAAGCGCTGGAGGATCTGCAAATCCCTGCGTTCGGCGAATGTTGTGTCCAGGAGAAACCTAGTAAGGAAGATGTCGACGTGCTTGGGTGAATCCTGACTGCCAAAATCCTGTCTTTGGGGAGCTTGTCGCAGTAGCCAAGTCCTGACGGACCTTGCAGTCTCAATTCGAAAAGAGCTTGTTGAGCCCAACACAAGTTTGAGGTCGGTGTCGAACTCTCGGTGAATCAAGAAAACATCGTTGTCTGAGATTCTCCAACGGAGTTCCCGGAAAATATATCCCAAGATGTTGATTCGGCCTCCTCTGGTGGGATCGAACGCGTTGGCTTGACCGGCTCTCATCCTTCGACGAATTTCTGCGAGATCTGCTTGAAGGCGAGCCTTATCTCTCCAGAATTCTGATCGTAACCACCTGAGATTGTGTAGAACCCATTTTGCCCATGGGTCCAGAAAAACATCTTGGGAAGTAACCATAAAATGGAACGGGCATCGCATGCAATTGCGTCGCTTGTGAAACACGCGCACCACCGCTGTTCTGAGCCGCTTAAACTGATGTTTGGAGGGGGGTTGGAGCTCAGTTCCGTAAACCCACTGGGCATGAACATTTGCATGAACATGGAGGGCTCTGTCACGGTCACTAAGGGGGAGCGCCGCTACTCGAGCCGCTGTTGCGATTGCCTTCTCTACCCGTTGGTTTTGGATCTTGGCATTCTTCTGCTTCCCTATGGTGTGGGAAAACCCCAGGGATTTGACATTTTTCTTTGTTTTAAAGCCCCGACCAACATCGCGTAAGAACCTTGCAGCACGTTTTTGGTACTTCGTGAAGATGATAGATTTACCATCATTGATTTGTTGTCCGATACACTTGTCGAAAGCGCTAAGTTCAGAAAAGGCAATCTGTAGTTGCTCCGTATTCTGGTTAATTGTCCATAACTTGCAATCATCAACGAATGAGGCAAACTGAACTTCAGGGGTCATTCCGGAAACATGATGAGCTAGCACTGAGTACATGGCGTTGATCATCAATATAGAAAGACTGCATCCTTGGACAGCTGCATTAGTAGACATGACACGCCTTCCAAAGAAAGCTCCTATCTTGAAGAACTTGATTTGGTGGTCGTAAAAGGCGCATGCTGCCCTAAAGATAGGTTGGGGAAGGCCTAGGGCACGTGCAATCTCCAGCGCTACCTTGGGGATAATGAGGTCGAAGCACTTATACCGGTCGACAAGTACGGCGCAAAACTCCTCTTCTGACCCATGCACATCAGTTGAAAAGGCGAGTTCAGAATCTGAAGCCTTTCTTTTTTGCAAGCCTCCATAAAGCGTGGGTGGGGCTATGCGGACATGCCAAGTAGTTAGCTGCCTAAACCGAAGCGAGGACCAAATAGAGTATACTACAGAGGACACTCCAATAGCCCGCATGAGAGAAGGATCAAAGTTACCCAAACCCTTACTAATCGTAGAGACAGAGACGAGTCGAACAATTTGTGGCCACACCCCGCTGGACTCGGCCAATTTCATGACCAGCATAAAGGGGTACCAACCGCACGGGGGCAGGCATTTCAACTCGACGGTTAGCCATCCATCCAGCCCGGATGCCTTGTGCGAGGGCCGTTTTTGGGCAAGTTGGAATAAATCGTAATGGTTGAACTCTGGACATTCAAAAGCAAACCTCAAAGCCTCAATGGACGCAGCGTACTTTTCTTTAAAGGCTTGAATGGTTTGGGGTATGTCCTTAGACTTATGCGTGTTGTAAATAGCTTCCATACGATCGCTGACCATGTCCAGCATTTCCTGGGGGTTCGCGGTAATGGTACCATCGGGCCTCTTGAAGCATCGAGGATACGAAGGGGACTCATCCTTAATCCATCTGTGGATTTGTTTACGATCTGCTGTTGTCGAGGTCCGCATGCGTGTTTTCCAATTGTTGAGCTTGGATTTGTCAGAGTCCTTCAGGTCCTGTGCTTGGCGAGACTCGCAGAAGCCCATAACCGAACATAACCATGACTCCATTTGATCTGTGCCTGGCTGGGGTAGCGTTTTGGGGTAAGGGAACCCGAAGGCGTTCAAAGCACGGCATATGTTACTCACAGTAGCTTTACATGTGTTCGTGTCAGCAGGAAGCTTGTTCAAGATCCTCTGGTTCTGTATGGAGGCTTCACGAATGCGCTTTTTCAACTTGACAAGCCTAGACTGTTCAGAGTGGGGTGACGAATGCGTTTGGGCAAACTTTTTCGGCTTGAACTTAGGGGGCAGTCCTCTCGTACAAGGAACGAGACTGTCGCACACACAGTTTAGCATTTCGGTTGCTACAGTGCAAGCAGCGCTCCACAAACCCTCTGTGTCACAGGATTGGGCTAGTGCGATGAGGTCCGCAGAATGTTTGACTAAGATGGGAAGACATCTTGATTCCCTGTCTTCCCACTCCTCCTCAGATTTAGGCTGAGGGGGAAGATCCCATTTCTTATGAGGAACCAACGTGAATGCTTCAGCGCACACCACGTCCATGTTCAAAGTGATAGAAACCACTGCATGACCTGGGAAAGGCGCGCTATAAAACACATCGGCGTCCTGAAGGAGGGGAAGAAAAGTTGGGGACAAAAGAAATAGGTCGATGCGAGACTTACCTCTAGGGTCACTATCCCCCCAACCTTTCTTACGGGCGGAGAAGGTGAACTTGGGCTTGATACCTTTCGCCGCCGCAATCTCGTGATGAGCATCAGACCACCCCCCTTTACACAAGGCTTCCACAATAGAAGTGTTTGAATACGGCGGGTCTTGGAAGTCACCGCAAACGCAAGTCGGACTGCGAAATGTAGAGATCATATGGAAAATGCCCTCTACTACCTCAGCACGGATTTCGCGATTGTGATCGTGAGTCGGTAAATACACATTGACGACAAAGAACCCATCCGACCCCGAACCAGAAGGGCACCACACAACCTGACAATATTCGTAGAGAAACAGCCACTCTTTTGGGAATTCGACAGCACGCGCTCGCGCGTCTTTTCTTGTCATAATGGCAAGACCACCATGACCTTGACGCACAGCTGCTGCGCGCGAATTCAAGGATTTCATCTTTGGCTGAAAGCCGGTGTGCAGCTCCCAGCCGTGTTGTTCAAATTCGGATTGCAAAGATTTGAGTGCAGATGTCGGGATTCTTGTCTCCTGCAAGCAAACACATTGAATGCAATTGGGAGATTCAATCAACTTATCAATGTGAAATAAGTCGTGGCGGCGTTTACGTAGCGTTGTAACATTAATCGAAAGAATGTCAACAGGTCCCTCGCCTGGGTATCCAAGGCAGGGAAGATAAACAGAAATGAAGGCACAAGAGCATATAAGTGGTGAAAGGGAACCACAGAGAAGTTCTTGAGTACGGCAGCTTTGAATTTGGCCATCCGGAGCATGGCAACTAGAGGGGTTGTCCCTCACGCTATGGATATTAACAGGTGCCCAAGCAAGGGCGACGTGCATACTTGGACTCGTCGTAGCGTCCTTGGCAACGGCCACAGAGGTGTGTGGCAAAAGTTGCGAAATCAAGGTATGTTGAGTCCGAATTAAGGGTGCGCAGGCAACTACGACTAGAGAAAGGGTTCGCAGTGTGTGCCATGCCCGATGTCTGCGGCGTCTAACACTTCTGACTCGGCCACGAGTAGAAAGAATAACCCAACCGCACAAGCCAAAGAGCCAAGACAAACACAAGAAAAACAAACCAAAGAAGAGCACGACAGCAAACGCGCAGAACCAAAGCACACACTCCGAACCCAGGCTACAGATGTCTGTGCAGGCTACGCCTTTCGTGGTAGCTTCGACGCTGGCGATTTCACTGGGGTAGATGCCCTCGACGATGTTTGCAAATCGCGCAATTCTTTGATGGCGTCCAACAGCGAAGAGAAGTTGGAGTTGTTTGACGCTTGCATCTCTGCCAAGGTGGACTTGGTGGAAGCCTGCTCTTCGGTCAGATGCTGCACTTGCTTGTGCATGGTAGCCATCTGCTTTTCCAACATCTCTACGCGAGAAGTTGTAGCGAAAGGTGTTGTAGACGAAGAGCTGGAAGAAAGCGCTTGCTTCCATGGGTCGCTCTGAAGCCATGGGTCCTCTGTCACTTGTGATGACTTCATGTTCATGTCGCGGGACGTGTCCTCCTGCGTAGCTGAACGCGTGCTTGTCTTGAACTTGACAGAGCCATTCAGAAAGCGATCCGCTTCCTCGATGAGGATAACACCTTGCGTCGTGATGAACTTGGGCTCTGGTGGGGGCTTGTCGGAGCCCACAATGACCGTGGCCAGCTCGTTGGAATGCCAAATCCGAATTGGGACCACAATCCATCCCACACTTTGCAGCGTAGAGAAGACCATGCCGAATGTAGTCCCTGTGGTAAAACCTCCAACGCGGAACTTGTGAAGGATCTTAAGCATCATGTTGGCCTCATTGTAGCGCGGATCATCTGCGAACAACACCGACCTGATCTCGGCCAGGCTAGCATCTTGAGCACGGAGGTACACTGTACCCTGCGACGCGAAAGTTCCCAAGAACCCCGCTGCTTCTTCGAAGTTCTTTGCTACATCCGAGAGCCTTTTTCCCGCCTCAACCTTGATCACTTCCAGGCCGTGTTCCGCAGGATCGGTGAAGCGTCGAGCTGCCCTGAATTGGACGCCAAAGAAACCGCTCTTGGCATACAGTGCATTCCGGCATCTGTTTGGGATTTGCAGGCGCTTGCCAAGGAAACCGTTCTTCTGAGCAGTTCGATGAAGAATGCAATGATCAAGAGCACCGATTGCAGCAAGGATCGTTGTGACATAGGTATCGAAAGACGCCACTTCTCCATACTTCTGCCAATCACCAGGATCCACATCTGCTTGGCGTAACTCAGCGAACACAACCAGTTTATCGGAAGCCGGCATATGGATGGCGGTCTCATCTGTTTTCAAGCAAAGGAAGTCCATCTCATCGTGCGATAAGTTTGCCATTGTGATTGCCCGTGGCTCCACTCTGCCAAGTCTTGGATCATGGACAGAAATCACCACTTGTGACGTTCGATCTTGGGGCAATCCACAGGCATGCAACTTCTCAGCAACATAACCTTTCAAAAGCAGGGCGAATGGGGAGGTAGTTCTGAGTGTCAACAAATCTTTCGCCGTGACCATGTTGACAAAGGCCCATCCTGCAACAGATTCATGAATCTGGTCTGCCCTCGCAGCGGAAAGATTTTCGACATCCTTGCCCGTCGCCAACTGAAGTTCATTGGGCTCGGCTAGCCGAAGGCCTTGAATGCCTGATTTGGTTTCCCAAGGAGCGACTTTCGGATTTGCACCGGACATTGCAGCCAGGCAGGGAAAAGGGAGCCAGAATGCACACCTTCCCGCGCTACGAACTGTGGTACACGCTTCTCCAATGGTGAGTGGGCACCATGTGAAGTTAATCAAAAGGAATAAAAGAAACCACATGAGCAAATGCAGCGTTTAGTTATTCCCCACCGAAGTTAACAAGGCCAACCACGGGAAGGTAGCTGCACTCTGGAGGCTCGGAAGCCCGCTGTTACCTTTGAGCAACAACCCTTTATAAGTAGGGTTCTAAGTATGGCAACTAGAGTTGTTTATCCTCAGTTAGGGGTACTGAAAACCCTTTACCTTTAAGTTGTTAAGTACCCATGAACCTCCAAGTCGGGGCGCGGCGCAATCCGACTTGACAACGGCCCCCCACGTTAGTCTCTGTCGCTACAGGCACTCGGACCCCATCCAGGACCTTGATCCCTCAAAACGGCCTCCCAAAGAGACTGGGATGCTCAATTGTGGTGAACGCACCCAGTGTCAAAAAACCATTGAACACTGTATACTGGCTTCGATCCCAAATAAGATCCCTATGCATCTCCTCTCCCAGATCTGCTAAGACTTCGCGAGGTAACTGCCAGAAGGTGAGGGATTGCTGTAGTAGGCGTCGGGGCGGGGTGTGACCACCCAAAACGCTAAACCCGTAATCCCTAAAACCCTTAAACCCTGAACCCTGAATCCTAACCCCTAACCCTAAACCCTAAACTCCCCCTTCAAAGCCCAGAACCGGCTGACAGCATGACATGCCCCCCCCCCCCCCCCTCGCGGACCCTGATTTCTCCAGGCTCACGAGCTCACGCGCGGTCGTCCTGGCACAGGACTCTCTCGCCCATGGATTCCTCTCTCCCCCATGGAACCTTGCAAGCCCAGTAACGATGTTAGAACAAGGGTAACCCTAAACCCTAAACCCTAAAACCTAAACCCTAAACCCTAAACCCTAAAACCAGGGTACCATCTCTGGGGTTGGTTACTTTTTAAGGGGAGCTAGAACCTAAAAAAAGGGCCCAGGGTGTGCTAAGACTCGGAGCTTCGAGTTCGGGGCTTGCAAAGGGGACTAAGTGCATCCACTACACTAGCCAAGGCGAATCTTAGGCAGCAGAGGGGATCCCTAAACCCTAAACCCTAAACACGCCTTGGAAGGCCGAAGGGGGGGGTGGGGGTGGGAGGAGGTTTGCCGGCCATTTGGCTTATGTTTACGTGGTTTTTTGGGCCCGAATTGCAAATTATATCACAAGCCCAAAAAGCATAAAGTCTGAGACGCCCGCACAATGACCCTAAACCCTAAACCCTAGTAAACCCCCAGGTTGAACTCCCTTGCAGGAGCTTCCAATCGAAGAACGGGTCTTCTCAACCCGACATTCCACAAATTTGGTTTAGGGTTTAGGGCTTAGGGAACCGAAGCCGAATTAGTACCAAAAATCCAAAAAACGTATGAAATGACCAAGGCAGAAGCCCTATACCCTCACACCACAACTTTGGAACGCTGCTGCACGCTGCTGGTCCTGGTTTGCATTAGCCTGGCCGCGTGAGGCCAGGTTGTCACCTGCCATAGGGAGTTTAGTAATTTAGGGTTTAGGGTTTCGGGTACAGTAGGATTTGTAGGGCTTCATGCAACTCGGGATGTAGGAGTGTCTAGAATTCATGGGTAGGGTTCAGCAACTGGAAAGTGGAGACTTTAGCAATGCCAGTCTGCAGCGAAGAGGTTTAGGGCTCTTAAAAGTTCTGCCTTTTTGTGGCGCCGTCTCCACAATTTGCAGATACCATACGTGGACATGGGCAGGTCTGTGAGGTGTGGCCAGAGATGTGCTAGGTAACCCGCAAGCCAAGGAAAAACTTGGCATCTCTCGATGTTGCTGCCCGCCTCGTCTGGATGTTGCAGGGAGAACTTGCGCCAATCTTGGAATGTGGCGCGTGGTCTGTCGAGCACCTCGTCTGCGCAAACAGCTGACGGTTGTTCGAAATTGCTTCACGGCAAAACGACCATTCTTCGCGAAAAGCAATTTGTCTTTCGCGGGCCCATCGCGGACTTTCGCGGAGCATATTTTGCACCCGAATTAGTTTCAGCACAAACAGTACTAGCTCAAAACTTCGCGAACGCGTGATTTGTCTTTCGCGGGCCCATCGCGGACTTTCGCGGACCCTCATTTCCATCATCTGATGGTCGCCCCAGTATAACTCGAAGACAAGGGGGGTTTTGAACAACCCTCAGCTGTTGCATAAAGCCTGTTAATTACCCTAAACCCTAAACCCTAAACCCTAAACCCTAAACCCTAAACCCTGAACCCCAAACCCAAGCTTTGACTTTAAAGGTGCTGAACGAATGCAACAGGTCCAACAAGGTTGCCCCAGGTAAAGCAAAGCGGAAAACTCAAAGACTTCATCGGCTTCTCTGGGCCCACACCATTCCTGACAGCAGTGTGGGCCAAGACTTGGCTGCAGATGCAGCCGCGCCGGCCAAGTACTGTGTATACACATATATACACCTAGACCCTAAACCCTAAACCCGAACCCTAAACCGAGGCAGGGAAAGAAAGAAAGAGAGAGAGAGAGACTCCCGATGCCCCATAAAGAAAGAAAGATGTTTTCCTTTTTGCAGGGGGGGGGGGGGACGAAGGAGCTGGGAGCCACGAACTCCGAACCTTCGACCCTCTCACCTGGGCATGAACTGCGATATAGGGCAATTGGGCAGTGGGAGACTTGTCTTGTTTGTGTTGCTCTTTCGCACAGTACGCATCCTGCTTTCCCAGTGTCCCCAGAGCGTCGAAACCCTCTCGTAACCCGAAGAGTTGCCCTGCAGCGTGGCTTGTCAGCCTCTGGATATCCCGAGCCCGATCAACCCTGTCCAAGCCCAGCCATGACTTTGTTCCCAAACAACCAGTGTCCAATCTTCTCGGGCTAGGCTAAGTTATGCTGAAGCTGTCGACAGTGGGGTCAGACGGTCATACCCAGAGGCTATCTATCGGAATCCTAAACCCTAAACCCTAAACCCTAAACCCTAATCCTAAACCCTAAACCCTAAACCCTAAACACCCCAAAACCCTGCCAAGCCCCTACTTCCCTCTGAGCTCGGCCTCGGCTCCGGAACTGCAAGTAACGCGTTTGGCCACGCAGGAGGCGTACACCCGATGATCTCCACGCACTATGTGCTCTAAACCCTAAACCCTAAACCGCCCCAAACCCTAAACCCTAAACCCGAAACCCTAAACCCTAAACCCTAAACCCTAAACCCTAAACCCTATTCCGAAACCCTATGCCCTAAACCCATTGAGGCCGCGACGTCCTGCATAGCAGGCACGAGCTCACGCAGGGTCGCCTGGAAACGCCACTGGGTCATGGTGGCATCTTGCCTACAAGTTGGGATGTTCCCGCTTGACAGGGTTTAGGGTTCAGGGTTCAGGGTTCAGGGTTGTTCCCCCTTACACAAACAGTCCTTACTAAGGGGGGTTGTAGTACCCGTATCAAAATCCTTATTCAGGACTGTTAGTATAAGGGGGAACATCCCTAAGGGGGGAACATCCAAACCTACAAGAGTACACATTCGGAGAGGTGGCTGCGAGGGCCCGACAGGCCTGACCACAACCTGTACCAAACCTTGCGTTGAGCAGGTTTCGAGTTCCGGCTTCGCCACCATAGGTGACAGAAATTGTGTTTAGGGTTTTAGGGTTTTAGGGTTTCGGGTTTAGGGTTTAGGGAAATTGTCCTGCACATCTGAACTCTCATTGGCCTTCCTTTGATCTCCGAAATACACCGAATCCACCCCCGAGCGCGCTACGCTTTTACAACGGGAAGGCAGTTCAAGAATCCTAAGCCCCAAACCCTAACCCTCAGCGTTAAACGGGCACGCTGGCTCATAGAATGTGCACATAGGGATATACGTGTAAGTGTACAGATGACAGAGTGCAAAATGAGGGTGAATGCATGTATTCGATTATTCGATTTGACAACATGTTCTTCGACGTGCCCAGTGTCATTGCTGGCCATTGCATCCATAAAGGTTACCTAAGAAGGAACACTTGGGCTATAAGCTGAAACCCTAAACCCGAAACCTTTTGTTGCAGCAGGTCTCTTCTCCTCACCAGTGCCTGCCTCGCCCCTACTCCCCAGCAGCCCAGGACAACCCTAAACCCTAAACCCTAAACCCTAAACCCTATATAAACCCATTGAAGTGCATGAACTCTTAGGGGCCAACGAATTCAAATGGTACCTACAAAGGGTTCTGGGGTCTCACAGCGCAGGGGCCTTTGCCGCTCGCTTGACGCGCTTCTTCCGGTGATCCAGCATGATGTCACCTGGGGCTCTGTAGGGTTTAGGGTTTAGTCGGATCCAAGGCACCTTTCAAGAGGCCTCAAGGCTACTTGGCACTACGACGTCACGACAGGTGCTGATGCTTCTGAATCTGCTTATGTCTGCTCTACTAGCATCGCCCCTTGGACTATTTCCTTCAATGGCGTTAGGGGGGTGACGCTACACCGGCAAGGAGCCCGAAGCTCTACAATCCTACAATGCGAACAATGACTAGCTGCCGGCCATTCCGTGACATAGCTCATAGCGAGAAGAACTGACTTCGTAGCCGTATGTAAGTTGGACTGCGACCTGACATTCGTCAAACGGCTTCCAGCAATACCTCTCGCGTGATGCCTTTGAACAGCTATGTTGCCTTGTCCCACGTTTAGGTTGTCCCAGCCTCTTCCCCTGAATTCATGGGAGGTCCAGAGAAGCCGCCTTGCTTCCTAAGCCCTTGGCCCGATAGGTTGGGATGTTCGCCCTTGTGCTAGCAGTCCTGAATAGGGATCAGAAAAGGGGGTGCTATACTCCCTTTTCAGGACTGTTAGCATAAGGGGGAACATCCCAACCTAACCTCCAAGCGCTGCAGGCCCTGAACCCCTAACCCTGAGACGATGCTAAGGTGCTCAATGGATGTTCCAGGTTGATGCCCACACGATCCTGGGGACCGACGCAGGCTTAGCTTAGGAAAGGGTTTAGGGCTTAGGGTTTCGGGCTGAGGGCTTTGGGGTCTTAGGTTTGTTGGGTTTAAGCTGTTTTTGTTTGAGGTTTTTAGGGGTCGGGGGCTTTGCCGTTGTTATGATTTGCATGCCGAGGCGTATCCTGAGTCCTTC